TATATATATATAGTGTGTCCCTAATCCTCTTCCGTAGTAATAGTTGTAGCATCTAAAGACCTAATGTCCCACCAAAACAATAATTTAAAGAGGAACAAACTAATGAAATCATGTCAAAAATGTGCATCATCCTACCCACAAAGATGGGTGAGACCAAGACGTTTTGTTTCTTCTTCGGCTTTCAAAAATTAACTTTTGTATTTACTCAAGGCGCACCTGATGTTATTTCATCCTATCCATGATTAGCCTGGTAAAAACCAGCCCCAGTCAAGGGAAACTAGAATTGAGCGGAACTGTATAGGACGGCAAGGGCCAGGCTAATTCCTGATTATTTTTCCTGAAAAGACGGAGACAATTTTGGAACTACATGTCCCATGGTAGAAGATATGTACATACAGCTTTTCTTGCTTGCCTGCCGCCCGCCTCTCCTGTTTGTCTTTTAAACCAGTCTCATTCACAATCAAGATAACAATATCACTTCCGGTCGTACCTTTCAAAATACATTTTTTGAGTCTACACAATTACGTACATGTGACATAATATAGGTCAAAACCTGACTAAATTATTTTAGAATAATCAGTTATTAACAAATGAATTGATAAATTACAATAACTTTTGTATAACTTTGATTTTTATTGCTTATAACCATTAAAATATAGTTTCGATAACCATGCTATTTTATTTTGAAAGTAAAGAGTTACAACTTTCTGAGTTTCTGTTGTCGTTTCCGCTAACTTCAACGCATGCTCGTTCCGAAGGAGGGTGAGTTTAGGAAAAGGCATAGCCACCCTGTCAATCACAATTAAGGAACCATGGGAGTAAACTGCTAGGGAAGCTCGGCGAAACCAGTGTGTGTACGCTTAAGATTGTTTTAATAATTTGCGCACAGACGACCATTATGCAGCGGTACTTTGTTGGACATTTGCACCCGAGCTCGCCAACAAATGGGAATCGATCCACTTCTGACTGGAATTAGCATGGGACGTGACAATTTAGCAGCAGAAAAATAACTTAGCGACTCCCAAGTTGTTTTCTTTAACAACGCTTCAGCATTCCTGTGCGAAAAACAAAAAAGCAAGTTGCTGTGTATAGTCGCACAAAAGTCTCTTCCAAGGAGGTTTATATTCACTTCAAGAGTGGGATATACGGCTTGTTTTGACTACAACTAGTGAGAAATCTGTTGTGTTCATTTCTGAGAACTGCCTTGTCGGTGAGTCGACTTTTTTTTTCTTTCTTTTGGAAGGAGTGTTTGCTACTCTCGGGAACACGTAAATACTACTATGTAACTTTTTCTGTTTTAGTGTAACATTCCCAGTAATCGTGCCAAATGTTTCTTTCAGCTTCACCGAAGACTTTCTCCACCACGACCGAAGCTAATCGGGGAACCGCCGCTCGGGCTCTCCGGGGACAGCGAACAGAGATGAGTGGGGGAGAGGTGGTGCATTCAGGGTGGCTGCGAAAGTCTCCTCCTGAAAAAAAAATGAGACGTTACGTAAGTGCACTTAGATCCTGTTTGTGACGCCGAGATAAAATAACCTGTAGGACCAAACGTGCAAGCTTTTCCCTGGAGAATTTAGGAAAACTGGACAGGCTTCTTTGTAGACCATCTTTTGTTTCAGGCAGTTTTCAACACTCAGTTTTTTTTTTCTTTCTTGTGGGTGTGTTGAACCTGAAACGGTGTGTGACCTCTCTGAGATCAGAACAATGATCTAGTCATGAATGGTTATTATAACACAGTAGAGTGCTGCTGCCTCTTTGCACATTATTAGACAAAAAAACATGAATTATGTTGTGGACTGGTGTAGTAAATATTTTGAATTTATTGGTGGGGGTAACTGCTAACCATTAAAATAAAAGCAGTCAATTCAATTTGGCTAAATGCAATGATTTGGCACTTTGGTTCCCAAAATTGGGGTCGTGACCCAGCTGTGGGTCACAAAACACTAAGTTGGAGGTCCTGTGATGATCTCCAGAAATAACAGAATTTTAAGACACTTGCAAATCTTATATTTGTGACAATCAATAAAATGAGTAGTTTAAGGGGGGGGGGGGGGTATGCTCTTACTGTTGTCATAATGCTTATTGATTTCCTTTTTAGCCATGCATGTGTGGTTCAGCCAAGAATAATTGGGGTCACAAGTCTTTGTTGGTCAGAAGGTGCAAAGTTTAGCAACGACTGATCTGTCTTGTGTTGTTAGTTGCTTGGGAGGTGTTTGAATCTGATTTGTTCTTGTTGCACACGGTTTGTGTAGCTCTGGTTTGAGGCAGTTGTTGAACATTGTTTTCATTGTTGCTGTAATCCTTCCATATTAGTGACATTGTTTTTTTTTCCTTTTTGTGACCAAGTTGATTTTTTTTCACCAGTTCTAGGTTCAGTTTGTTGTTGGTCAGTAAAGTCAATGTTTTGTAAATGAGGCTTAGAAAAAACACCCTAAATATATTTAATATATTTTCAGAGATCAGTTGTATAAAATATGAACTGAGTTCTGTGTGTGTTTTAAAGAAATGTATAACAAATTAAAGCATGTTTGTCAACTGAACGTTGCTTAACTGCATGTGTTGATTTTGATTCATTTGCGTTGCAGTTGAAGTGGAGCTGACTTTAGCTGCATAGCCATGCATTTCAACATCATTACTTGTTGGGGTAATCAAGGGATGGTGGAAAGGATATGGACAGTTAATATCTTGTAGTTATAGGTGGAATAAAGCTCTTTGAAGAGATCTGGATCTTGACGAGCCATTTGTTAGAGCCGTTTAAAAGAGCTATTCGACTTTGAATGAGTTACGTCATCATGTAGGGAAATACGTCATCACATCACGTGGGTGTAACCATGTGTTTTGTCAATTGGAAACCTCTCCCCCTTTCCCCATGAGCTGCTGTACTCCACAGCTCTGCCTGTTTTTGGTGAAAAAGCGAAGCAAAAGGGATTTTCTCTGTAGTTCAGGATGAGAAAATAAAGATATGAGGATTTAAAAAATAGAACTATAGACTGGTCTTTACTGCCCTCGACTCAGCTCCTATCATTGTTGTAACAAGTGGTTCAGAAGATTTGGATCGTTCGTGAACACCACATGTCTAGTTGTAGATGGCTCTTTAAACAACCTCAGTTTGCAGAAATATCAAAAAGGAAAAAAAATAAGTAGGTCCTCTGGATGAGTTCTTCTTTAGTGAAACGTTTCGTCTCTCCTCCAAGAGACTTCTTCAGTCTGATGAGTTTCAGGTGAACTCAGCCTTATAAGCACTGCCTCCACATGGACAAACAGATTAGTCACATGCAAAAGAGGGCCATCGCCTAACAATAGGCTTGATTAGCTCTATTGTTCATAGAGGGTCATGTGCCCCATCACCTGACTTATTGATTTGGATGCTGTGGTTCTTAGGTGTCATGTTATGTGTATGTAGTGAATGCAAGCGGGGCTCAACGTCCCCTCGTTTTTGTCTTTTTTTCCCCTCTTTGTGTTGGTGTCATTGGGGCACTGATTGACACATTTTGCTCACAGGGGGCTGAGTCATACTTGCAATAACAGCTTTGTAGGAGGAAATGCAGAATTGCAGAAATAATTTATTTTGATTGATGAGATACCAGCTAGTCCAAGTGTGGTCAAAACTAAAGTAGATTGTTGTCAAGTTAAAACAACTGCAGTCTCAATAATTACATAGCGGTTCATGCAAATACCTAGATTTTTGCATTTCAGTCAGCTTTTCATTACACTTTATTTACATAGAATGTGTTTAATTTGCAAGTGAAAATAGCTTTAACAACAGCCATTTGATTCTTACTGCAATGTAAAATTGACTACATGGTGTGTGTGTGTGTGTGTGTGTGTTTTTTAATACAAACATAGCAACTATATGTAGCAATGGTTGTTCTGGTACATCTCCTATCTTTTATTTTTTGTCCCTCTCAATTTTTGTTTTGTTTTAGAATCAACCAGAGCTCCTCTCAGCTGTTAACAAGCTGCTATGCTAGCTTGCTAGCTAGTTGTACTCGATACACCATACCAAAGTGTAAACAGTAACCATCTAATCACAAATAAATAATAAAACAAAATCAAAGCTAGTTGATTGCAAATTGGTCTGTGCTAAAATTGGACCTTTTTTAAAGGAAAGTTTTGTAACAATTAAGCACTTTAGCAAAAGTAAAATATCACGTGAAACCTTGTGGCATTTATTTGTGGTCATTTGAAGTGAAAGTTACACACTTTACAGCAATTAAAATTAGTGCACTATTTGAAGCATATTACCCAGCACTGCTACAAGTTATGTGTCGCAGCTTGTGTAACTATTTCTGCTAATCTCACTGTGAATCTCGCACAGCAAGCACTATGTCAACTGTTTCAAGTTTTATATCTACAATGATGCAAAAACAAAATCTCACTTAGCAAAAGTTCATATCGGTTTGGTTGAGTTTGGTTGACTTCCTTGAATCATTTAGAGCAGCTAGGTCTTCAACCCTTTTCTGTTCTGCCTGTTTCAGTTGTTTCCCTGCTTCAACACACTGGCTGACTGAGTGATTGACAGGCTTCTGCTAAACTTGATGACAGAGTAGTTTATTTGATGATTTGAATCAGGTGTACCGAAGCAAGGAAACTGCTAAAACATGAGATCAGTGGGTCAAAATTTCTAATCTAGAGCCAAAAGTAATATTTATTTTCTTTCAGGGGGACATTGCTAGTCTTGGTGATGGATACAATGTCTGAATAATTCCTTGAATGAATTTCTCACATATTTGTGACTGAACTGCTCTGAGCCGAAACATATCCAGAACTATTGGAATTTGGAACCGTTATAAATGACTTAGCACAATCTCATGGTGTTGATTCGAAGGTTATTGAGTACAGCAGTAATTATGTAATGCTGTTAGCATCCAAACTGCTGAGCAATTACATTCTTGCTGAAACATTAATGCAAAAAACAGTTTAGCTGCTGCTCTTTTCTTTTGTTGAAGTAAACAGGAGGCTCAATGGTGCATTTGAAATGTATAACTGGACTATTGTATTTAAAGGGGCATGTATTTATTGAGTTTTTTGCCTTTGACATAAATGATGTAAAATGGAACAAAAAATAGCATTGGCTAGTGACCATCAACTGAATGAGTTCCTTTTTTTTACATCTTTATGCCCTGATCTTTACAACCAATGTGTCTCTTTGCAGAGCTGCTACACCGAAGGTCAGTTAAGGTGTATTTAGAGGTGACGAACTCTGTTCTCGCCGTCTCCTTTGTGCACAAAAATTGTGTAATCTCCTTCCATGAGTTCTTTGACTCTTTATAAGACTTATTTCACTATCTTTATAGGTTTTATTTGACTATGTTTGTAAGTTTTGCTGGAACAGTTGTAAAAAGGGTTTTATTTTCTAACATCCTTGGCCAGCTCCTTCCCAGTGGAGCTGTTGATGCGAAATGAGAGCATGGTAGTTCCCCCACTTTTCCACATAAACGTGCCCATGAAATTCTGGTGCATACTCTGCGAGAAAAATGTTCTGACAAGAGGTTGTGCACTGAATAGGTTTTTGGGGGCGGTGCGAGAATAAAAAAAGGTACAATTTTTGTCACACAGTTACATCGGCAAGACAAAGTTCGGCACATCTCACCGAGTATAAATCCTGTTTGAGTCTAGCGCAAATTTCCACACTGTCAGGATTAATGGTGCGTTCACACCAAATGCGATTTCAGCATCAGGAGCAGCAGGTTTACATACAAAGTCTATGGTGGACGCGCTTCAAGCAACGTCGGGGAATGCTGCGGCGCCTCAAGCGCGATTAGAGCAGCGCGATTTGAACGATTTGAACGATCTGAGTGTTCGACGCGCTGAGGCGCAAATCGCTGAAGTTAGAAAATCTGAACTTTTGCAGCTCGWCGCGCCGCGTCAACCAATCAGAGAGACTCCACTGTGTGACGTAGCGACATATTTCCCGACGGGACAGTTTACTGAATGATGTCCACTAACCTGAAACAGACGGAGCGGAGGTCTTTAGCTGAAATGAGTGCCTGCAGTCGTGTCCTGATCCGCAGCAATGCGTGACAGCGACTCATCAGACTGGAAAAATAGTCCTGAAAGCGAGCTGTGAGCCTCTACTCTGAATTATCTGGTGAATTAATTATGAATTAATTATCTGATGAACGTGACAYGCTCTTGCTCTCTGTAAATAAAGCAAAGCCACTTCCTCGTCCGACATTAAACAGAGCCCAACAGAGGAGGGAGGGGCGGGGAGGCTGTTGCCGTGCAGCGCTTCAACAGCTGTCCTGCGTCTGACCTCAAAGTGCACAAGCTTCAAACTTCAGCGTTGGCTGCGATTTTGAAGCTGAAATCGCGTTCGGTGTGAACGCACCATAAGACTCCACTGAAAAATTAGATAAGTTTTTTTGTAAAAACTCAAAACATCTCTTGTAACATTTTCCTCGGAATACCAGTTTCCTCCCACTTCTTTTGTAATATTGCAGTTCTCTTATTCTCCCGTGCTTCTGAAGTAAAAGAAAAGGGGGAAAAAGC